CCTCCAAGGAGCACCCTGGCTTAACCCTCTCCAGGACAAACTTGTTCTCCTTGCAGTCCATGTTATATTCAGTACTCTTCTCCAGCACCACAGCTCAAAGGCATCAACTCTCCTTCTATCTTCCCTAGTCATTGTCCAGCTCTCTGATGCATAGCAAGTAATTGCAAAGACCCTGGCCTGTATCAGGTGCACCATAGTCTCCAGACTGACATCGTTGCTCTCCAAAGTACTGGAGAGGTATCTGATGGCAGCCTTTCCCAATACAATTTGTCTTTTAATTTCCTGGCTGCTGGTACCAAGAAGGTTGATTGTAGAGCCAAGCAAACTGAAGCTATCAACAATCTCAGTCTCTTCACCATCTGTCATGATGCTGCCAATCAGCCCAGTGGTGAGAATCTTGTTTTCTTAATGTTGAGTTTCAATCCATATTGAAGCCTGCGACCTTGACCTTCCGCAGAAAGCACTTCAGGTCCTTCTCAGTTACAGCAAGCAGGGTTGCAAATAAATGCACCAACAGCCAGAGCCAAAGAGGAGGAAATAGAAGATTTCTACCAGCTTTTTCAGTCAGAGATTGATCGAACATGCAATCAAGATGCATTAATAATAATGGGTGACTGGAATGCAAAAGTTGGGACTGTGGAAGAAGGATTAGCAGTAGGAAAACATGGACTTGGTGGCAGAAATTAAGATGGAGATAGAATGATAGAATTTTGCACTATCAACGACTTACTCATTGCAAATACATTTTATCTTGTTGTTGTTGTTAAGTGCCGTCGAGTTGCAGGCGACTCATAGCGACCCTATGAAGGAGAGTCCTCGACACTTGGGTGCCTTTCATCCTCTCTCCAGGTTCATAGGAATACATTTTATAAGAAACATAAATACATAGAAATGGAAACAAGTGCCCATCAACAAATAAATGGATAGAGAAGCTGTGGTATATTCACACAATGGAATACTATGCAGCACTGAAAAACAAGAAACTCTGAAAATAATATACAAAATGGGTGGCCCTGGAGGACATTATGCTGAGTGAAATATCTCAGTTACAAAAAACAAATACTGCATAATGCCACCATTACAAAACAGGACTGACATGGAGGTTGGGGGGAACTAAGAAAAGAAAGGATAATGCATACTGCATTGAAACAGATGAGTAAAAGAACTGCTTAAAAGGAATATATGATTAGGTATTATTTGCATGACAACAGTCCAGAATAAGAGCTGCCATGTAAGGTGGACTAGGTCAGATTGCAGGGGTGGGGGTGGGGTGTACAATAATGAAAGATTTTTTTTTCCTTCAAAGAGAAAAGTGAACTGGGGAAAGGAGTCATCAAAGAGAAAAATGTGCAGCAGTGAATGAATGCAAGAAAATCCAAGCTCTCTATAAACTTTCATTAAAATCTCAATTTTTAAAAAGGGACAAAATCCCAGATAACTAAATCCAACATATTAAAAAAAAAATTAAAACATCATCGATCTTGAAAAAGTGGGATTCATACCCTATATGAAAGGATGGTTCAGCATTAGGAAAAACAATCAATGTAATCTACAAAACAAAGATAAAAACCCACATGGTCAATCAATGCAAGAAAGGCATTTGATAAAATTAAACATGTTTTCCAGATAAAAATGTCCAACAAAATTGGACTAGAACAGAAATTTCTCAACATAATTAATAGCATATATACAAAACCAGTGGTCACTTTTACTCATAGATGAAGGCATGTCCCTTATGAACAGGAACCAGACAAGGATGCCTTTTAACACCTTTTTTTTGTTGTTCATTGCAATCAAGTCAAGCATGACTCATAGTGACCCTATTAGCAAAAGACGTGAAGCCTTTCTGTAACTATCATTTCTCAGAGTTCATGGCATTTCCAGAGGCATGTTGTTTAGGAAGTGTATGCCACTCCTGCTTCCAGTTTAACACCTTATACTCAGTATGTCTTCCAAGTCCTATCTAGAGCAGTAAGAAAAGAATAAGAAATAAAAGGCATCCAAATTGACAAAGCGGGAGTAAAATGATTTCTGTTTGCAGATGATATGATCCTATTATATAAAATCCCAAAGACTTAGCAAGAAAATTACTGGATTTAAATGACCAGTACAACAAAGCAGAAAGATATAAAACAACATGAAAAATTAGTTGCATCTATCTATAGTAAAAGAGAATATCATGAAAAAAAAAACTGTATTATTTATGATTGTTGTTGTGTGCCATCGAGCTGGAACTTACCCATAGCTGTTCCTCTAGCTAGTTTTCAAAGGCAGTAAACTGCATGAGAGGACACTGCTAATCCTTCTCCAAATTGTGACTATTTACTGTTCAATCATAAAACAAAATATTCACCTCATCCGGGGTTTTCCTCTCCTGTACTGACCTTCCAACCTTCCAAGCATGATGTCTTTCTCCAAGGACTGGTCCATCCTGGCAACATGCCCAGATTATGTGAGGCAGAGTTTCATGATCTCAGTTTTTTCTTTTGTTATCTGTTCACATTGTCTACTTTTGTATGTGTTTATGTAGGCTGTAGGTATCTAAAATTTATTCCATTTCTTCCTGGTTTCCAAATTGATTCGTGAATGGTTCTTTATAATATCCTTACCCATTTTAATAAAATTTTATCAAATTATTTCCCATTTTTAAAATTTGTTGTTGTTGTTAACAGTAAGATTTATTTGAGCTGTATCTTACTGCAGACACTGGGGTTTGCCCATCCTGTTCTTGATGTACAAAGCCCAAACATTCTGCCAATTCTTCAGTAGTTAAACTAGGAAGTTGATAGCCAGCTGGATGTTATATAAACAAGTTAATCTTCACACAGCCGACAGCCACTGACAGACACAGGACTGTTTTCATCTGGAATTTGATGAAGGACATCACCTCATCTACATTGGCCACCATGTTCTCACTTTGGGTCAGCAGAGATGAGAACTTGCCAGCTTTATTTAGACCTCAACCTAGGATTCATCTTACTTCTTGGCCAGCATGTTGACCAGCCTTTTATTTTTGTTGAGGCTTTTCAGCGCTTCAGTGTCTATATGGGGGACACCCACAACCTTAGCTTCATTGCAGTGCAGCTCATCTCTAAGAGCACACACTGCGAACTTAGGGCATGTGGTGAACTTGAACCCAGAGTGTATACATCAACAACTGTTAGTCTGTCTTCTCAAACTAGAGTGGGATCAGCCAAGGCCTGCTCAGGCATTCCCTCATGTTTTAAAACCCAGGGTGGGGGTTGGTGTTATTACTCTTTATTTCACTTGCTTCTTTTGGCTTGTAATCTGTTTTGTCCAAAATTAATGTTGCCACATTTGCCCTTTTCTTGATTGCTGTTTGCTTGAATTCTTCCTCCAAGAACTGATCCCTCCTGATAACATGTCCTACTTCCATGAAGCAAAATCTCATCATCTGTGCTTCTAAGACATATTCTAACAACTATGAGATATCATCTCACCCCAATCAGAATAGCAAAACTTAACAGAACAGCAAGCAACAAATGGTGGCGAGGTTGTTGAGAAACTGGAAACCTTATTCACTGTTGGTGGGAGTGTAAAATGGTGCAACCACTGTGGAAAATGGTGTGGCACTTTCTCAAAAAGTTGCAAATAGACCATTTGACCCAGCAATTCCACTACTGGGAGTATACTCCAAAGAGACCATAACTGACATCCAAGCAGATATATGCACACCCATGTTTATTGCTGCTTTGTTCACAATAGCAAGGAGTTGGAAACAACCTAAGTGCCCATCAATAAATGAATAGATAGAGCAGCTCTGGTATATTCACACAATGGAATACTATGCTGCATTGAAAAACAAGGAACTCATGCAATATTATTCAAAATGGATGACCCTGGAGGACATTCTGCTGAGTGAAGTGTCTCAGTCACAAAAGGACAAATACTGCATAGTGCCACTGTTGTAAAATAGGACTGACATCAGGGTTGGGCGGAGGCTGAGAAAGATGGGATAAATAATGTATACGGCATTGAAACAGATAAGGGATATGTGATTTGGTATTTTTGTCATGACGGGAGTCCAGAACAAAGGCTGCATAGTGGAGTGGACCTGGTGGGAGGGATTGTAAAACAATTAAAGAATTTTTCTTTTACTTTTCAAAGAGAAGAGTGTTGGGGGGGAGGTAAGCGGGGGCAGGGAGAAAAGTACAACGATGAATGAATGGAAAGCCAAAGTCTGTAAATTTTCATTGACATTAATAAAAAAACCCCACAGCTTATACAATATATAAGAAATCTAAACCACCCCAACCCCCACCCCGACCCCCAGAAAAGAAGAGAACTATTCTAGGTGTACTTCTTCCAGATCAGGTTTGTTTGTTCTTCTGGAAATTCATAGTTTAATATTCTTCACTTATATACAGTCCAGAAATAAAATGTGTGCATTCTCATTAAATTTGAACGATTTTCTAAATCTAGCCTTTGAAGCAGCTGTGATGGTACTTAAAATAATGAAGTAGCTGTTTACTTACTTTATTCTAAAATGCTATGTAATTTTACATATTTAAAAAATCTTCATGTGTTAATTCCTTTAAGAATTAAGTCTTGAGTTAGTCTGTGTTGAGTACTAATGTCACATGCAAGGCATCACAGTCAGTTGCTTATTTTGTAGCTTTCTTTATTGTTTTATCTTACTCTTAGATACGTAGTCTATAACTTCAATGAAAATGTTCCTAATTTTTTCTTTACTCAGAAAAATGTTTCTAGAGTCAGTGTTTCACTTATAAAGAAGCTATAAATATGACTTTAGAAAAATCTTGTTAAAAAATAGAAATATTTTATAACATTTATCAGTCCAAATTTTTGTGATTTTTGTCTTTGACTGCATAAAATGTTTTCTTCAGGAGATAGTCTTCTGTACCAGTCCTCCATTATCATTAGCCAGTATTTTAATTTAATATCTATACAGTTCAACAAGCAAGAGTGGATTCCCCTAGTGTATGTACATAAGTAATTTATTTCTTTTATTATTTCAGATTCGTAAACAACAAAAAGAGCATGCAGAGCTAATTGAAGATTATCGAATAAAGCAGCAGCAGCAACAGTGTGCAATGGTCCCATCTTCCATGATGCCTGGTGTCCAGCCCCAGCCATCCCTTGTTCCAGGAGCCGCTCCACCGTCCATGGGCCAGCCCAACTTCCCCATGGTGCCGCAACAGCTACAGCACCCGCAGCATGCAGCAGTCCTTCCTGGCCACACCAGTCCTGCCAGAATGCCCAGTTTACCTGGATGGCAGCCCACCAATGCTCCTACTCACTTATCCCTCAACCCTCCTAGGATTCCACCCCCAGTTGCTCAGTTACCAATAAAAGCTTGCACACCAACCCCAGGGACAGTGTCAAATGCAAATCCACAAAGTGGACCACCACCTCGGGTAGAATTTGATGACAATAACCCCTTCAGTGAAGGTTTTCAAGAACGAGAACGTAAAGAACGTTTGCGAGAACAGCAGGAAAGACAACGAATCCAACTCATGCAAGAAGTAGATCGACAAAGAACTTTGCAACAGAGAATGGAACTGGAACAACATGGCATGATAGGCTCAGAACTTGGTAGATCATCTGTGTCCCAGATTCCATTCTACAGTTCTGACTTAGCCTGTGATTTTATGCAACCTCCAAGATCCCTTCAGCAGTCTCCACAACATCAGCAACAAATGGGGCAGGTTTTGCCACAGCAGAATATGCAACAAGGTTCTGTGACTTCTCCCCCTACCCATACTTTCATGCAAACAAATGAACGAAGGCAGGTAGGGCCTCCCGCCTTTGTTCCTGATTCACCATCCATTCCTGGTGGAAATCCAAATTTCCATTCTGTGAAGCAGATGCATGGAAGTCTTTCTGGGACCAGCTTCCAACAGTCCCAGATAAGACCTCCTTTCCCACCTGCATTACCAGAACCTTCTCCAGGAGCTAGTAGTGGTCTTCCAAGTGTGCATGACCCTGCTGTAACCCATGGACAAAGTTACCCAGGATCAAACCAGTCCCTTATTCAGTTGTATTCTGACATAATCCCAGAAGAAAAAGGGAAAAAGAAACGAACAAGGAAAAAGAAAAAGGATGATGATGCAGAATCCACCAAAGCACCATCAACTCCCCATTCAGATGTAACTGCTCCGCTGACTCCAGGTATCTCAGAAACTACCTCCACTCCTGTAGTGAACACACCAAGTGAGCTTCCTCAGCAAGTTGACCAGGAGGCAGTGGAACCTGCAGACCCACCCACCTCTAATGCAGCAGCTGACCAGCCATGTACAGAATCTGAAAACAAACTGCCCATTAATGAGTCATCACAGGGAGCTCTAAATTCGCAGACTCATGCAAATCCAGAAATGGATAAGCTCCCCCCTGAAACCAGTAGTAAAACTGAAGAGGTAAAACTGGAACAGACTGAAACAGAGCAGTGCCCTGGCCAAGATGAACCTCAATTGGAAGAACAAACCAGCAATAAGGAGGAAGAAAAAGCTATAGCTCATCCTGTCTCTGCAGCCCAGAGCCCACCTCATCCCGTTGGAGGCCCTGCTGCCAAAGATACAGGAAATGAACTTCTGAAACATTTGTTGAAAAACAAAAAGTCAGCATCCCTTCTAAATCAAAACCCTGAAGGCAATTTTTGTTCAGAAGATGACTGTGCAAAGGATAACAAAACAGTTGAGAACCAGAACCCACCTGAAGGATTGGTAAGTTTGAATCATAAGTGGTAACTTTTGTTCTGTTTTGTTTTAGATTATAGTTACAGCAGATTAGAGTGTCAACAATTATTTTTTATACTCTGTCTTGCATCCTTTTTACTCTAATGGACTGGGGTTTGTTGTTTCTTTGTTCCTACCTCCATGAAGTCCATGTGTTTTTAGTTACATTCAGTAAGTCTACAGACTGATTATTACTGATCTAATCAATGCAAATACCTTTATTGTATGAATAAGAGTACTTTCCAGTAAGGTGTTTGAAATACAGAACTAATAAAACAACTTTTTTGATACTCTAAAGAGTTCTCAAAGATTGCCCAGATTAAGAACCTGTTGTGTTATAATGTTTTAATTTTGAATGTAATACAACCATAATCTTATATGTGGATACTATTTCCTCTGTGATTTTCTATGTTTTCGTTTTCGTTTTTAACTGCCTTCCAGTCAACTAAACTTAAAGCTGCTCCCTGAACATCCAGTCTGAACCTTGCCCCATTCTGTACCACCTCATGATCTTTATCATGCTTGAACCCATGGTTCATTTTGTTGAGGTTCTTCCTCTCTTTAACTGTCTCTCTATTTTCCAAGTTTTATATCTTTTTTCCATATAATAGTGTCTCAATAAGTTTTGTGGCTATGTTCTTTTTTGCCATCAAGTCATCTGTGACCCATAGTAACCCTGTGTACAACAGCTCTGAAGACTGCCTTGTCCTGAGCCAACCTCACTGGTTTCCAACATACTTACTTCTGTTACTCCAGTTACTGTATCAATACATCCCATCTGGCATCTTCCTCTCCTGCACTGTCCCTCCACCCTTCCAAGCATGATGACCTTCTCTAAGGACTGGTCTCTCCTGACCCACATGCCCAAAGTATATGAGACGGAGCTTCAAAATCCTAGCCCTTAAAGAGAAACTTGGTTTCACCTTCTCCCAGAAAGACCTGTTTGTTATCTTGATGGTCCAGTGGTATATTCAGTACTTCTCCAGCACCATAACTCAAGGCATCAATTCTTCTTTTGTCATACTTAGTCATTATCCAGCTATCTGATATATAGCAAGTAATTGCAAAGACCATTGCCTGAATCAGGCACATCTTAGTCTCTAGACTGACATCGTTACTTCTCAGTATTCTGGAAAGGTCCCTGACTGCAGATTTACCTCATGCAATTATTCTTTTGATTTCCTCACTGCTGGTGCTAAGAGTGTTGATTATAGAGCTGAACAAGCTGTGGCTATAGAATGTAATAAAAGTATAGTTTGCTTGAGCTTTAAGTTGTTAAACTCAAGAGTTTTGCTCTTTATAATAACTTAATTATAAATGGACTTTTATACCCTCACCTCCATTTTCATTAACTTCCTTGAGAGACTTCCCAAACAGAAGTTTCTAGGTCATGAGAGTTAATGTATTGTTAGCTATTTGTTGTGATATAGTCCCTCTTTTTCAAAAGCTGTAGTGCTTCTTAAGTGAGATTATTTTATCATTTTCATTTTTAATTGAATAAAAATGGGACCGTTATTCAAATAAGATTTGCTCTTGTTTTCTTATTCCTGTGTTTGACCATCTCCTCGAGTATGGTTGTAAATTTTATAAAAGTGGTTAAGCTTTTTCAGTCACATGTACCAGTAAGTAGGCATATGTTCTACAGTTCTCTTTTCCAAGATTCTTTTTTTCATTCAGCCAGTCTTCAGCGTGTCGATGCCCTTTCTGTATGCTCACAGAGCTGCTTCTGTAGTACAGTTGTTGTTATTAATTGCCATCAAGTCCTAGTGACCTCATGTGTACATAGGTGACCTCAGTTGGGTTTTCAAAGCCATGGCCTTTTGGAAAGCAATGCTGGTCTCTCTTCCAAGGTACCAGCTAGTAATTGAGTGCTTAACAGTTGGGACCACCAAGTGACTCCACAGTGTCATTTAACAATAATTAGCTCCTGGAAAGGCCCAGGCTGCATCTTGAGTGACTTTATATCTCAGAACCTCATATAGTACTTTGCAGATAGTAAGTGTTCAGCACTTGGGTCATTCCAAAGACATGAGGTTCAAATCTACCAGCTGCTCTGCAGGAGAAAATGGGCAGTCTCCTCCTGTACGATTAAACTGTCTCTGAAAACCCACTAGAGGGTCAGCAGTGGGTCAGTTCTGATTTGACGGCACATAGCAACAACAGTGGTTATATAGGGAGATCTGGTGGCATAGTCAGGAGGAAGTTGTGCTGCTTATCAAAAGGCACTGCCTCTGTGGGGATTCAAATCCACCAGCACCTCCGAGGGGGAAAAAGATGGACAATCGTTTACATGCAATATGTAGCCTCCATGAACCTGCTAGGGAAGGATCTGCTGTGATTAAGTTTTGACTCAACAATTTTGGTTATAAAATACAGGATGTTATGGAAGAAAAAGACATGAAGTCAGTTTCACATGTGTAAATGTTTGTACTCACTGATAGATACTCTTATATCCATCTTGGGGGCAGCAAGGGATGGGGGCGTTTAACAGAGGTCTGACTCTTTACCTGGATTTCAGATGTTATTCTGTTCTGATTATGAAGTGTCATTGAATGGGTTTTGGTTCGTAGTGACCCTGTGCACATGCTCTGTTTGGACCCATTCTTGGCAGCCACTGTATCAGTCCATCTCATTGGGAGTCCTCTTTCTTTAACTGACCTTACTTTACCAGGTGTAATGTTCCTCTCCAGGGATTGGCCCCTCCTAATAACATGTCCAAAGTATGTAAGGTGAACTCTGACATTATCACTTCCAAGGAGCTTTCTGGCTGTCGGTTTTACAGGACAGATCTGTTTACTACTTAATTTTTTGGCAGTCCATGGCATATTCCATGTTCTTCCCCAGTGTCTTGTCTTCAAAGGTAACATTTCTTCATTCTTCTTTATTTGTTGACCAGCTTTTAGATGCATAAGAGGTGGTTGAAAAGACAATGGCTAGAGTCAGCTGTCACCTTAGTACTCAGTAACATTTTAGTCTTCCCCATGTAAGAGGTCTTTCACAGCGAGTTTACCCAACCCGATGCTTAACTTGCTGTTTCCACGGATGTTGATCATGGATCCAAGTAAAATGAAATCTTTTAACAACTTGGGTGGTTTCTCCCTTTATCATGTTGTTTCTTGTCCAGTTGTGAGGATTTTTTTTCTTCTTTATGTTGTAAAGTAATCTTTACAGAGGACTATACTCTTTGATCTTCATCAGTAAGTGTTTCACATCCCCTTCATTTTCAACAATCCAGGTTGTGTTGTCCACATATTGCAGGTTGATGGGTCTTCATGATATTCTGTTGCTGCTGTCTCAATTCAGCTGTCCTTTCCCTCTGCTTACTCAGTTTTCCGCTGAGCAAAACCAGGAAATTGAACTATATGATTCATATGGAAGGTGCAATTATTGTCTCATTCTAAGGGGTAAAATAACTTCCTTTCTAGTTGCAGTTACAGCAAAAATGTTATGGCTGTACTTGGACAGATCACTTGTTCTCCTTGCTAAATCTCTTCTCATTTATAAAATAGATTTGAGCAAAAGAAGACCTGTCTAGTTGGAGACGATTTACAAACCCTGAGAGATTAGACAGCCTTTGTGGCAGGTGATAGTGCAAAGCCAGGAGTCTCCTTAACTGCACTTAATTCTGGCTCTTCTACATAAAGCACTGTGAACAGGTCAGCCTCGTTGGACCACAGCTGCTGCTTCTGTGAAATAGAATTATTAATAGACCCTAGTTCACAAGATGATTGTAGAGATTAAATGGTTTAAAATATGCCTAGTATGTTCAACAAAGAAAAAAGTAACGTTCTATCAAAAAAAGATCTCAACTATCACATACATGAGAACCTTTTCCTTTAAATGCAAAAAAATTAAAATGTACAAAGTATAAAAGAAACAGAATGCTTGTTGTTTTTCTGAAGGTTTGTTGTTTTTTTTAACTTACCCATTTTACCGATAATTTCGTCTAATGAGTTCAAGGAAGCTCATGGTTTTTCCTTGCCAGTGAGGTGGGAGTTGGAGAGAACAACCTAAATCCACTGCATACATATATTATGAGATACTTTGTAGCCATTAAAATTAGGCTACTTGAGAATATTTAATGGGTTGGGAGCTTTTCAAAGCATCCCTAGAAATAAAATAATTCAAAAAGTGACCCATTGTATTTTTTTTAAACATATGTAGGCATACTTTGAAATCAGATAAGTTATACTTGTTTTCAACTCTTAACAGATTACAGATCATTTTTAATCTTTCATGTTTTCTGTATCTTAATGTATTCTTTGAAATAGTTACTATTTTTCCCCTTGTGGTAATTGTTGCAGAGGCCTGGAGACTCCACTCTGGGAGTTGTGGCTTTTTGCTGCTTTTGGACTGTGGTCCTTGTGGGCAAGTAAAGGGAGGTTTTGGGGGTCATGTTTAAGTGTGTTACTGCTCTTCTCCCTCTAAGAGCAGGTGTGCTTGAGCCTTTGCCTGGGCTGGAAGTCGGCTCAAAGGCATTGGCTTTAAAACCCCGCAGGGGGAGGGGATGAGACTGCAGGCCGGGGCCAAATTTATTAATTTTTGAATGAGTATTCCTTGAATGACACAGCAATCTTTTGTCTGTTTGCTGAACTGAACAACTTGGTATTGCTGTGATGCAATATGAACACATTGTTCATAGTCTTTTCAAATACCATAATGGTTACCCATTATGTATATGTTTGGATGAGCTTCCAGATTGATTTATGCTGGGAAGCAGGAGTAGCATCCACATCCTAAACTAGATGCCTCTGGAAACTTAACAGACTCTCTAAACTCTATAAATGTACAGAAATGATGTTAGTTATAGAACAGAGTTCTGTACAGAAATTATGTTCTAGAACAGAGTTCACGTCTTTTGTGAAAAACTTACTTTTCAGTCGTATTTGACTTGATGACACCTAACCACTACTAAATGAAACTAGTGCCGTTGTATCTGGAGGAACACTCTTCCACTTTGTACATGACTCTTTGTCAATGCGTAGTATGAAGTAACCTGGGTTGCTGTGATGCTGAACCTTTTACCATTGGGGAATCAAATACCATAATGGTTTCCCAATGAAGACAGTGTTTGGTGGAGCTCCCAGTTGTAAAACAGGTTTGGAAGCAGAAGTGGCATCCACTTCCTAAACCACATGCCTATGGACTCTATGAACTTGGAGAAATGACGATAGTTATGGAAAGGTATTAGGTCTTTTGTTTATAGAGTTGCTATGAGTCTTACTCAACTCAGCGGCAGTTAGCAATTGTTAAGATTAGCGATAATGTCTGCAAAGCACTTAAAATGCCTTTCTTGTACTTGTTAGGTGCTGTTGAGTACAACTCACAGCAAGCAACCCTATGAACTTTCATCTGGTGGCCTTGTGGTAAGAAACTGCTTTGCAGCCACCAAGGCATGTGGTTCAAATCTAACAGTTGCTCCATGGGAGAAGGGTGGACATTGTCTTTCCTTGTAAATTATTATCTCTGAAAACCTTCTGGAGGTCAACTGTGAGTGGCTTCTGACTCGAATGCACACATCAACCAGTAAGACAAACAGATAACCTTAGACTTAAAATTGTGCAGTCCTACTTGGAGTTTTTCAAACGTGCGTGAGCTCTTAGTGTGCCTGCCCACCTCAGAAAAGTGCCACTCTACTCCTAAAGTTCTTAAAACTGTGGCACATCAGAATCACGTGAAGGTGATTGATAGGCTCACCCCTAGATTCATTAAGTTTAGGACAGGCCGCTGCATGTGTGTAGCTGCTATTGCTGCTACTTCAGAAAGCACACTTTGAGAACTTCTGATCTGGCCCAGGGTCCTCAACAGTCTGAGCCTGCTTCTACCTCGCCCACATCTTTGTATGAACTAAAAAAAAAAAAAAAATTTAAGGTTTTAAATGGTTCAGAGACAATCTAAAGGGTCTTATTTTTATGATGTGTCAGTTATATGAAATTTGAGTTTGTGTCTGTAAATAAAAATTTTGTTCTTAAAATACAACCGTACTTATCCATTTATCATTTTCATTATAAATTGTGACAGATTTTGTAGAACAAAGCAACAGAGGCTCTATGGTCAGCACAGCTTAAAATATTTACCATCTGGCTGTTTACAGGAATAATTTGCTATCCATATAATTTGCTCTGAGCCATGTAGAATATCATTGGAAACTGGAATTTTCAAAACTTTAAAACTTCAATACATTATAACTAGTTACACCAAATAATCTATAACAAAATACTGCTATAAAATTTTAAAAATAATGAAACCATTTTTTAAAAATGTCCTTTATCCTGAGAGTATTTTTTAAAACTATCTTAATAAACCAAGGGCTAGCTTAATTTTGCTTTTTGACCGTAAAGTAAAGCCAAATATAAAAAGTCTTATTTGCTGCTGTCTGGGCTGTTTTCTCCTAGGCTTTAATTTCAGCAGGTGCTCGTTGTCATCACATTGATTCTACCTCACAGTGGCCCACGTGCAGAGTGAAACTGCCTCATAGTGGTTTTAAGCCTGTAACCTTTTGAAAGCAAATCAGCAGACTTTTTCTTGGTAACTGATTGATTCAAAATGCCAGCCTTTTGTCTCAATCGAGTGCTTCTGTTGGTACCCCCATTAAGTATGGCATTATTTTCCCCATCTGTGACAGGGTTTTGAGTTAATTTAAATGATGTTTTATTTCTTTAATCTCTCTGGGAATACCTATTCCTGTCAACTAAGAAGTATATAGGTTTTCAGTCTTTTTCTCATACTGTCTCCCATTGCCATCTAGTCGAAACACACTGATAGCTGAGTAAGTAGATAGATGATAGATAGATAGATAGATTTATATAAGATATATATAAATCACACAGAAGGGGACTGCCCATCTTTCTCCTGGTTTTGAACCCACAGAATGCCTTAGGATGCTCAGCGCAACATCCTATGGACTATACCACCTGAGCTCCCTGTCTTTAGGAGCCTGTAAATTGTGTCAGCCTACTTTGTATGTCACCAATTCCTAAGCGGAACTACAATCATCTCAGAGCTACCTGTGAGGAGTCCTGGTGCCAGTAGGATCATGCCTGAAGAGCAGTACTGCATCTAAAAGGAAAACCAACCTTCCTTAGGAGTTCTTCCTCAAGCCTGCCACCTGCTGACTTCTCTGCTTGACAATAATATTTGTGAAAAATGGGATGTATTTTGGAAAAAGTTAGATCATTTGATTCCACTGTCTGCCCTCTATTGCCTTCTTGTCCCTGTGTTAAGAATATGAGTTGAGGCGAGCTCTGGTGGCCTAGTGGCAGGAAACTGTACTGCAATCCCAGAGGTGCGCAGTTCAAATCCACCAGATGCTCTGCTGAAGAGGGAGGAACAATCGCCTCCTGTACCGGTCAGATCCAATTTGACGGTACACACATTAAATAAATAAATAAATTTTAAAAATTAAAAAAAAAAAGAATATGAGTTGTAGGGTGGAACTTGAATAGCATGAATTAAATATTAAATGTGGAAAGTTTACTTTTTTTTTTCTCCAACCTTTCCAATTACATTAGCAAACTTTAGGGGCTCAAATGCAAGGTGGTTTTGGATGTGGCAACAACCAGTTGCCAAAATCAGATGGAGGAAACGAAATCAAGAAACAGCGAAGCAAACGGGCTCAAAGGACTGGAGAGAAAGCTGCACCTCGCTCAAAGAAAAGGAAAAAGGATGAAGAAGAGAAGCAAGCTATGTACTCAAACACCGATACATTCACCAACTTAAAACAGGTAAGTAATTTGTACCAGCTCTTCTAAAAATTCAATGAAGTGAGAGAAGAGCAAATGCTTTTTCATCTCACTTAAACTGAATTTTTTAATGTGTTGTTTCCTAACTAAAGTAGAAAATTGCAGAGATAAAGACATCCGAAAAAGGAATGAAGTAGCTTTCCTCTTTTTTAAGCAGAATTACATCTTACTCTGTGGGCACTCAAAAATTACAGTTAACGGATGGATTGGTCAAGATTTACTTATGTTCAAAAGAAGCAGCATCTGGCCAAGAAACAGTCTTTCCCCTATTACATTTGACTCTGGAACCAAAAAATTACAGTTGCTTGACTCTCTCCTATTGTACACTCTATTCTTAAACCTCTGTAGTTGTTACAAGAAACTGGGAGACATCCATTAACAGTCATGGTGGTACCTGACCTCAATTAGTGCCCCAATTATTGAAGAGCAAAGATAAGGAAGGAATGTCTCTGTCACTCATTTCCGCATTTTCATAGTTATATTTTACAAAGTCTCACTTTTCTCAAGCCTTTTTAATTTAAGTGACCTTGGGTCTTAGAAAAGTTGAGAAAAACAGCTTTGTTTGTTTATCATGTACATTACTCTTAAATGTGTTTTTTAATAGCAGCTCTCTCTGCTCCCTCTAATGGAACCAATCATTGGAGTGAACTTTGCACACTTTCTTCCTTATGGCAGTGGCCAATTTAATAGTGGGAATCGACTTCTAGGAACTTTTGGCAGTGCTACCCTTGAAGGGGTTTCGGATTACTATTCTCAGTTGATATGCAAGGTATGTTTCTTTGCCAAGATGTTACTTTCTTCAACTTTGGATAACATATCAAAATTGATAGAACTTATCTTGTGTTTGCATCTAATTTACATCTAATCTTCTAAATTTTATTTATTAGAACACTTTTTACCCAATAAAATTTTAACCTTTTGTTGAACTGAAGTTCTAACATGAACACTCGAAATTTTTATAAGAAAGAATACAAGTTGGGGGGGGAAATCCATTATGTATTTACATAGTAGAAGCAATATGTATTTCCTTATTACCCTTGTAAACTCTTAAAATGAACTAAATTTATAACAAATACAGTTAGAATTTTACTTTGAAAAATTAAATTTAAAATTTGAGAACTACTTCATCTATTTAATTTTAATTAGAATTGTCACTATGTGTCTGATCCAACTTGGCGACACATATTAACACAATAAACTGATTTTTGCTGCAACAATGGGATTAAAAAACCCTCAGACTCATTGCCATCAGTTTGGAACCAACACATAGCTGACCTTCCAGCCAGTTTCCAGAGCCTGTAAATCCCACCGGAGGAGATTGCCCACCTTTCTCCCCAAATTGCAATAATACCAAATGAAATCAAGTTTATCTTTTGTTACTGTTTTTCTAACAAAGTTTTTTAGAACATCATGCAACATTCTGGACTTTGTGTCTAAGATAACATGAAAAATACTAATATTGAAAAAATACTTGACAAGTATCATCTGTTTCCCTGAGGTCTCTTCCTCTGTAGTTATGGTTGTTCTCTCTCGACATCTCCTTTGTTTTGCTTGTCAGCTTTTCTCATCAGTCAGAACTTGGTCTGACTCCTGCAGTGCCCCTTTTTGGTGATACAGACTGTTTCTAGCATCATTTCATTGTCTTCATACAATCTTATGTCTTCACAAGATTTGTAATTTCACTCTGCCCTTTATTTGCATAGGGTTCTTTATAGATTTCCTCACTGAGAGACCAGTCGATAAATGACAAGTTGGTAATAAATATTAAGCAAGGAGAGATAGTTGAGAAGGAATTATGATTTTTAATGGTTTTTTTGTTATTGTTGTTCTGTGCCATTGAGTCAGATCCGACTCATAACTGACCATCCACAGATTCTCAAGACTGTAAATCCCATGAAAGTAGATGGCCCATCTTTCTTTTCAAGGAACTGCTGGTGGATTTGAACCTTTGGGTTGGCAGTACATCTCCTTATCACAAGACTGCCAGAGTTCTTTTTTTAGTGATTGTTGTTATGTACCATTGAGTCAAAACCAGCCCATAACTCACTCTCCAGCAGGCTCTCAGAGCCAGTAGTAAATCACACGGGAGATTGCCCATCTTTCTCCCACAGAGCAACTGGTGGCTTTGAACTGTGTGCCTTTGAGTAGGCAATGCAACTCCTTAACACTGGAAAAACAGAATTGCCCTTTTAATTATTAGGTCATTCTATTTTGATTACTGTCTGTCCTTTTCTCAGAGATACTGAATAATCCAGATTCCAGTATCTGCAATGGGATTTGCAATTTATAGGTTTGGGGCCCCAGATGCTTGCATTTTTATCTGTTGGTTGATCTTTAATGACACTTGGCCCTTAAATAACAATCAGTAAAGAGAACTCTGATGGCCTAGTGGCAGGAAACTGCTCTGCATTCCCAGAGGAACATGGTTCAAATCCACCAAATGGAGAAGGAGGGACAGTCTCCTCCTGTACCAGTCAGATCTGATTTGACGGTACACACACACACACACACACACACACAAAATTTTTAAAAAGTCCAGTAAAGATATTTTTAAAGAACTTTATATACTTGTTTAATTGAATTTCAACATTATTTTCCCCTGAGTGTAATAATGAGAGTTAAAAGAGTTATAGAAGGTAGTATCAGGTATAATTGAAATTTATTTTTTAGTTTCAAAACTTAACACTTAAGCTGGGAAAGTAAATAATTCAGTACCATTTGTTTAATGTCCACAAAATCATGAGTATTTGTTCTAATAAACAATTTCTTGGCCTTGTATGTATGTTTTTCTTCTTTGAGTGTATTTAGGAAAGAAGATGCATCTTGATTACATTTCTGTTGCCTTGCCTCCGTGTGCTAAAAATTCACAGAACTAAGTTTTAGCAAGGTCTTTTCATATTTGTTCAGTAGCATATAATTTGAAATTTTTTGGTCTCCTGCAGCAGAATAATTTAAGTAATCCTCCAACACCCCCTGCCTCTCTTCCTCCTACACCACCTCCTGTGACGTGTCAGAAGATGGCAAATGGGTTTGCAACAACTGAAGAGCTTGCTGGGAAAGCTGGCGTGTTAGTGAGCCATGAAGGTATGACTGCTGTCTCTGTGTATTGTGGGAGGATCGTACCTTTGTTGGCTATGTCTGGTCAGCTGGTTGTAGAATTATAAGATGCAGCCCATAAGTCACTGATAACTAAATGTATGTGTGTTTTTTGTGTCTTTTCCAGTTACCAAAACTCTAGGACCTAAGCCCTTTCAGCTGCCATTTAGACCGCAGGATGACTTGTTAGCTAGAGCAATTGCTCAAGGCCCAAAGACAGTTGATGTCCCAGCTTCACTTCCAACACCACCTCATAATAATCAGGAAGAATTAAGGTGAAATGTTGTCCTTCCTTATTTTTTTTTTAAATCTTGTTAATTATGTACATAGTTAACATAATGTGAATAGCATAAAAAAACATTTGAGGAGTAAAATCTAATGTGTAATTATATTTAGAAGTAAAGTTTATAAAATATTCTTGCTGTATATTCTTGCATTGCACAGTCATTTGATTTTGTTGTTGTTGCTGTTCTTATGTGCCATCAAGTCACCTGCAATTCGTAGCGACCCTATGTACAGCAGCTCTGAATCCTGCTCTGTCCTGAGCCAACCTTACTGTCTCCGACATGGCCATCCCCTTTACCCCCAGTCACTGAGTTAATCCATCTCATCAAGGGTCTTCCTTGCCTGCTCTGTCCCTTCACCCTTGCAACATGCCCAGTGTGTATCAGACGGAGCTTCAGAATGCTTGCCTCCAAGGAGCAGCCTGGGGATTTTTGTTTTATTTTTTTATTAATCTTAAAAAAAAAAACCCCAACCAGGATGAACCTGTTTGTTCTCCTTGAAGTCGATGGTATATTCAATCTCCAACACCACAACTCAAAGGCCTCGATTCTTGGCCACTAACAGGAAGCACTCCCCGCCCATGCCGGCCTTGTTCCTTCTTTCTGGACGTGGATGAGCAGGAGGTGCCATCATGGGAGTTGATATCCACCACAACAAGGACAGAAAGGTCCGGTACAGGGAGCCCAAGAGCCAGGACATCTATCTCGCTTGTTGGTCAAGCTCTCCAGGTTCTGGGCCAGACGGACCAACTCCACCATCAGCCAGGTTGTGCTGAAGAGACTGTTCATGAGCTATACCAACCGGCCACCGCTGTCCCTTTCTCGGATGATCCAAGAGATGAAGTTTCCTGGCTGAGAAAACAACACAGCTGTTGTGGTTGGGATCATAACAGATGAAGTGCATGTTCAGGCGGTGCCCCAGCTGAAGGTGTGTGCTCGGCACATGAGCAGCTGTGCCTGGAGCCGTATCCTCAAGGCTGGAAGCAAGATCCTCACCTTTGACCAGCTGTCCCTGGACTCGACCAAGGGCTATGGCACCAGGCTGCTGTCAGGGCCGGGCAGGGGCCAAGAGGTGTACAGGCATTTTTGCAAGGCGCCGGGCACCCCACACAGCCTCACCAAACCCTACATCTTCTGCCCCAAGGGCCGGAAGTTTGAGCGTGTCCGAGGCTAAAGAGCCAGCTGTGATTACAAGAACTAACTCCAGATCCTACCCTGTTATTAAAATCATATTGGGTATTTCTGGCCCAAAAAAAAAGGCATCAGTTCTTCTTCCATCCTTAGTCATTGTCCAACTTTCTGATGCATAGCACATAATTGTGAAGACCATGGCCTAGGTGACTAATGATGATGATGATCATCATCAAAGAGACAAAAAGGCAATTACAAATCTCCATGTAAAGTATTTCCGATATCAGTGTCCTGCATAAGCTATTAATATTAATAGGGCACGCTTGGCTTACTGTTTGTAAATACCTACAGTGCTGCAGCTGAAGTCCCAGTCATCAAGACATGCTATTGTAGAAGAGAATTTAAAGACTATTCTGCAAATAGGGAGCATTGCTGTCTTTCAGCAGGCATGAGCAGCAGCCACAAGAACTGCATGGTAGCTGAACTGGGCAATTGTCTGCTTGCTTCTAGATTTCCCAGGAGCTGTGTCTGGAGGACTTGCTAGGATTTCTTAATAGTGTTGCTTCTCAAATTTTCTTTTCTACACAACATACACTCCTCTGAAGTGTGAAAGTTAAAGATCAGACATGAGGCTATTGTACAAACTAATCTGAGAGCATACTCCTGACCCAAATCCCAATTGCTTTTGATAAAGCTTACCCTCCTGGACAAGACAGAAAGGAGCCACCACATCTCCTTTTTTACTTTTTTATGTTTATCAATTAAGGAAAATCAGTGACATCATAACCAAGTTTTCTCCTTTGTTGCCTTTATAAACACCTTCCAAAAGCTAGCTGTGCTTCCAGCTATTGCTGACTGTTAGCATAAGCTCTCTGCATGCACAGCTCTTGGGTGCTTGGACTCATTTTTCCTTTTTCAAAGCATGGGAAGGTTCCCATGGTCCTAGTGATTTGTAGTTTTGCAAAGATGTTTCCTGTGTTATGTTACATCCTATCATCCCTCTCAGACAGAACTTTAATTTTTATACTGATGCTTTAGTCATAAGGAAACCTTTAAATTACATTATCGATAAATGTAGTTCTGGTTTTTCCAAAGGGTTCTCCATTTCACCCTGAAGAGACTAATACAGTTAACACATTGCCACACACTTTTAGTTGACGACTGTGCTTAGAAACACTTTTTTTTTTAACCATCATTTGCAGCAATGTGTTAATGTCATTGCTATTTCCCAAAGTAACGTTACAGCCATACCTGTGGCTCCTGTCTGGTGGATTAAAGAAGGCCCCAGATTAGCACATGTTGACGTGTTTGGACTTACTCGCCTTGCAGGATCCAGGACCACTGTGGTGATCGGGACACACCTGACAGCTTTGTTCCCTCATCCTCTCCTGAAAGTGTGGTCGGCATGGCAGTGAGTCGATACCCGGATTTATCATTAGTCAAAGAGGAGCCTCCAGAACCTGTGCCCTCCCCAATCATTCCAATTCTTCCTAGCAATACTGGGAAAAGTAAGACTATCACTTACTTGTATTATTTTTCTGTACAATGTGTTGATTTATTAAAGGAAATACCTTCATTTAGACAAGCCATTAACACTCATTTTCCATGTTCTGTTGTGTTTTTTTGTTTTGTTTTTAGATTTGGAATCTAGGAGAAATGACATCAAAATGGAGCCAGGAGCTTTATTTTTCACATCACCTTTTGGTACATCCCCAAATGGACCTAGATCAAGTCTTATATCTGTAGCAATTACCCTGCATCCTACAGCTGCTGAGGTAAAAGATGAAGTGATTTTTTTTTTAACTTTACAGCTCGTATGCCTATTTAAAAAAAATATTCTGATGGTGATAAAATGATATTTTAAAATAGCTTCAATGTTTATGAAAGTTTGTTTTCTGATTTCTCTTAGGTGGTTTCATTGATGGTGATTTTTTTTTCTTCTCACCTTGGGTTTTAAGACTGTTCGTATGTCTATTTTTAAAGCTGTATCCTATGCCTTGTAATGAAACATGTAGGGTAGGATCATTAGGATGAAAAATCAGAGTTAGAGTTGGGATCAATAGTTACTTCAAACACCTCATCTTCTTTTGAATACTAGAAAACTTTATCAGGCAGTGTCAAAGCAGAAAGGATAAAATGAGTTAGCATTCTAAAAATGAGTTAGCATTCTAATTATTAGATAAAAAGAAGTATATTTTAGAAAGCTATCCAGAAAGAAACCTTTCTTTAACTCTTAAAATTGTAAAAACTAAACAAAGGAACTTTATCAACAATAAAATTTTAGAGAACCAAGAGCTGTCCTTAGGTAGCAGCTCCATCTGATTGATGTAGTATGGTTTCGTTTTAAAATTCTTAATCCTGTAAAGGCATTTTTTCTTAGTGAACCAACTAAGTGCGAGTGAGGTGACATTTTAGCCGTCTCCTTATCACAGCAACAGCATAGAACTTGAGCCTTTGTGGACTATTTAAGACCTTTGTCTGCAGTGATGGAAGCCACTTACTTGATACAAGCTTTCTGACCAATTATAAAAGCTGGCAAAGCTTCATTTACCCCTTCTGATCATGTCATTTACACTTGGCAAATAATAAGAGAACTAAAGTATTCAAATGCAAAAACAAAAAAAAAAATAAAAAAATGCAAAAACCAAAATATGTTCATTCTATCATAAATATTTAATGTTAGTTGAGTCCCGCTGTAATGATGCCTGTTTGTGAAAGCTTTGTTTTCATTCAAACAAAATTACATTTCCTAAAACCCTTTTAAGTCTAAGTAGTAGTTGTTGGGTTGTGTATATGGTATAAATGTCATTTATCCCAAAGTACTTCTCTTAAATTGATCTCTACCCACATGTGTGTGACACACACGTTTTCATTTTGTTTTAGAACATTAGCAGTGTTGTAGCTGCGTTTTCCGATCTTCTTCACGTCCGAATTCCTAACAGTTATGAGGTCAGTAATGCTCCAGATGTTCCCTCCATGGGCTTAGTTAGTAGCCACAGAGTAAACCCAGGTTTGGAGTGTCGGCAGCACTTACTTCTTCGTGGACCTCCACCAGTATCTACGAACCCTCCCAGGCTGGCAAACTCCTTCCAGCATAAGCAGCCAAATGTACCATTTTCTCCTGCAAGCAATGGTGAGCCAGTTTATGTTTTATTCAATACACTCTTGTTTCAAAATAAGCTTAGTTTGTTTGTTTTTTTTTTTAATTTTCATTTAATTTTTATCCAAAAAACAGGTCACGTATTGATGAGTGACCCCTGATAAATTAACCTTATGTGGGTATTCTGTGTTGGGGCATAAACCTGTGTGACTTTGACTGCCTCTGAAAATCTACTGGGGGTTTTCATAAAACTCAGCTATGGATGAGTTCTGACTCAGCAGCACACAACAACTTATATTTCATGCTGTCAACCAGTCTGGATTGCCAACAATTTGCATAACACTGTTTAAAGCCTGTGACTTTCTTAACCTTAAAGTGACTTTTGTTCTTTCTTGTTTCCCCAAACCTCCCATCTCACTTTCTGCTTGCTTCATGTAGCTTAGGCAAGGTGGGATACTTCACTTGTAGTCTTTTTTTCTTTACACATGTGAAGACTTTCTCAGACCACTTCTAACACAACTTTCCCTCCTGTTTCCTTGTAAAGCTCAGCAAAGAAGCCATAGGCATTCCCTGCAGCTCCTCCCCAGCTCCTCACTCGGCATTTTCTATGACAGCTGTGACCATCCTTGCCTTTCAACCGGAGTCTAGCAGCTTTCTACTTCTCTCTGGCACTTTCTTTGGAAGTAGATTGTGTTGCATTATTGAACTTCTAGCCTCTGCTTTTGATGTGAACATTTTCTAATGGCCTTTCTTTCCCTTTTCTGCTTTCATACCCTGTGACAGTTATATAACTTCAGTGAAGCATGCTGTGTTCTCTGAGCATGCCCAACATTTAAATTTTCAACTTTATTAACTTTTACATATTGGCTTTGGATATAAGTTCTTTGATACTCTTAAGTCATGCTTTAAAGATTGTTATTTTTGCTCTTGTCTACCTACCTCCTCCTCCTTCATTAAACTCTTTTGTATTACCTTCAGCAGCTCTCCCCCCCGTTAACCATTAGGCTGAAAGCAAATCTTGGTGATTTGAGTTTTAACACTATTGTCCTAGCTGTTCAAGAATAAGTGTGTTTTCTTTATTTGTATCCCATTGTCTCCTGCACATAATAGTTGCCTTATAGATATTGAGTACCTAAAATTTCTATTAATTAAATAAAGAATAATTTACTGAACCATGTTGTAATAAGTGTGTAAAAGCATAATCTTTCACAGTATGCTGTTTTGTTTTATCACTCAGTTTTCATTAGTAACAAGTGTCTCTCTTTCAGGTCTTGCTGGATATAAGGATTCTAATCATGGTATTGCAGAAGGCTCAGCACTCAGACCCCAGTGGTGTTGTCACTGTAAAGTGGTGATTTTGGGTAGTGGTGTGCGGAAATCTTTCAAAGATCTAATGTTTGTGAGCAAGGTACTTTAATCTTCTGGAAATGGAAGATAAATTCTGTCCTCTACCTTTAAAAATAATCTTTATGGGATTTACTTCTACATCTTTTTTTTTTAAGTGTCCATTTATGCTAAAGTACTACAGTATAATCATAACAGTATGCATTTCACTTGTATGGACTTAAAATTAAATAACTACAGCATATTGTGACATTGAGTATTAAAATGATGACCTATTTTTTTAAAAATAGAATTTAATATGACAGAGAGTTGTTGGGTCTTTTAGTTTGATATTTGTTTTTTTGTGTTTTTTTATTTATTTCTCTAAATTATTTACTGAATATTGGATCTTTTGTTCCTTTTCCTTTTTAAAGTTAATAACTATTTTAAATAGCCTAAAACTAACAGTAGATAGAGATTTTTTTTTAATTTACTAAATTCTGCTTGTTGACATTCCCAAACCTTTTTCTTTGATTTTATTTTTTATTTATTTATTTTTTTTAGGATTCCCGAGAGAGCTCCAGCAGAATGGAGAAGGAAATTATCTTTTGTAGTAATAACTGCTTCATTCTTTATTCATCAACAGCACAAGCAAAAAGCTCAGAAAGCAAGGTAAAACAAGGACATTCTGAATTCTGTTGCCAGTATGCAGATATGGGTTTCTCTCTTGGGTGAGCATGCAGTAAATAATGCTGTATACTCAACCCTTTAGAACAGTAAAACTACTCCATACGATTTTTCCAGACCTTAAACAACTTGCACTATTCAGGTGACACACCTTGCTCACTAAAAATGAAGAGTATTTGAAGCACTTAGTGATCAGAATCAGCGAAGACAGTCTTAAGTATGGATTCACCTCAGTATGATGGAAACAGGAACCCTCACAGTCACCAGATAAACAATGCTATTACGATAAATGGGGCAATTAGGGAAGTTGTCAAGAATTTCGCTTTACTTGAATCCACAAACAATACTAATAGAAGCAGCAGTCAAAAAAAAATCAAACTATTGAGCAAATCTCTGCTGCAAAGATCCTCCTTAAAGTGTTAAAAGAATCCAAAAATGCTGCTTTAAGAACTTGTTGCCCAGTGCTGTTGATTCAACTTATTCATAGTGACCCTGAGAACAACAGAACTGAGTATTGCCCCATCCTCAATATCTCTTGATATGCCCGTTGTTACAGTCAGTCTATCTTGTTGAAGGGCTTCTCTTCTTTCTCTGACCCTCCACATTTCCCATATGATAGCATTTTCCAAGGACTTTTCCCTCCTGTCATGTTTAACATGCCTAAATCTACACTGCCATGCCTAAGGCATTCGTATCCTCTAACTGTTCCACAGTAGAAAGATAGGCAGTCTCCTCCCATGCAGTTTACTTCCTCCGAAAACCTGCTGGAGGGTCACCTCTGAGTTGGTTCCAACTCAACAGTACCCAACAACAACAAAGTATGTGAGACAGTTTCACAGTCCTTATCTCTGAGAAATACAATGGTTGTACTTCTTCAAGACACACTTGTTTGTTCTTTTCGCAATCCATGGAATAGCCAATACTGTTGTTCTCCAATACCAATATTTAATCTATATGCTGAGCAAATGATTCAAGAAGTTAGATTCTGTGTGGCATTAGAATTGGAGGAAACTTATCAGTAACCTTCGTTATACAGATAATGCAGCCTTGCTTGCTGAAAATGAAGAATACTTGAAGCATTTGCTACAGAAGGTTAAATAATACTGCCTTCAATATGGATTGCATCTCAGTATCAAGAAAACAAAAGTCCTTAATACTGGACAGATCGGTAACATCATGATGGATGGAGAAAGAATTGAGACTCAATGACTTCATCTTACTTGGATTCATAGTCAACACCTATAGTAGCAGCAGCCAAGAAATCAAAAGACAGCTGCATTGAACAAATCTACTATCTAAACACCTCTTTTTTTTTTTGCATTTTTTTTTTCTATAATTATATTTTATTAATTTTCATAAACATTTACAGAGATTTTGG